CACAAGAATAGCAGGGAAATCTGGGTTTGGTGGAAGGTTTTTTTTTAAAGCTCCAAGATGCCTTCGGTCAAGTCAGCTTCAGGGTTGACATGCTGGCTCAATACCCCCACTAGGAGTGTGCCAATTTGTTTGCAATTTCACTCAAAGATTATCGAACTGAGTCGAGTTTACTTGTTGGTGGAAAGATTTTACTGGTCTAAAATGTGTTTGGAAGAATTCAGATCGATTCTGGGCCAGCCCTATCTGGTTTCAGTGCAGGTGAAGGTAAAGCTTCCCCTTGCACATATGTGCTATTCGTTCCCAACTCTAGGGGGGCGGTGCTCATCTCCATTTCAAAGCCAAAGAGCCAGCACTGTCCGAAGACATCTCTGTTTTCATGTGGCCGGCATGACTCAATGCCGAAGGCGCATGGAACGCTGTTACCTTCCCACCAAAGGTGGTTCCTATTTTTCCACTTGCATTTTTTACGTGCTCTTTGCACCGCTAGGTTGGCAGAAGCTGGGATAAGTCACGGGAGATCACTCCGTTACGTGGTGCTAGGGATTCGACCCACCGAACTGCCAATCTTTCTGATCGACAAGCTCAGCAATTCTGGGCCAGCGCTGCCTGGTTTCAGTGCAGAAAGACCTTTAAAAAACAATCCAAACATGCTTGATATTCTGAATCCGCCATTGGCAATCCCTTCACTGAACGGAGTCGAGATGGATTCCTCTCTGGGATTGGCAGGGATCCACGAGTAGAATAACAGAAGAGCTGGAAGGGACCTCGGAGGTCTTCTAGTCCAGCCCTCTGCTCAAGCAGGAGACCCTTACAGAATTACAGAATAACAAAGAGCTGGAAGGGACCTCGGAGGTCTTCTAGTCCAGCCCTCTGCTCAAGCAGGAGACCCTTACAGAATTACAGAATAACAAAGAGCTGGAAGGGACCTCGAAGTTCTTCTAGTCCAACCCGCTGTTTAGGCAGGAAACCCTACACCACTTCAGGCAAATGGATATCCAACCTCTTCTTAAAAACTTCCAGTGCTGGGGCATTCACAACTTCTGGAGGCAACTTCTGTTCCACTGATTAATTGTTCTCACTGTCAGGAAATTCCTCCTAAGTCCTAAGTCGCTTCTCTCCTTGATTAGTTTCCACCCATTACTTCTTGTCCTGCCCTCAGGTGCTCTGGAGAATAGCTTGACTCCCTCTTCTTTGGGGCATCCCCTGAGATATTGGAACACTGCTGTCATGTCTCCCCATGTCCTTCTTCTCATTCAACTAGACTTACCCAGTTCCTGCAACCGTTCCTCATAGGTTTTAGCCTATTTAATCCCAGAATCCTTTTTGTTGCTCTTCAAGGCACTCTTTCTAGAGTCTCCGCATCTTTTAGAGCAGCGTTGGTTAGAGTGCAGTACTGCAGGCTCCTTCTGCTGATCACCAGCTGCCAGCAGTTTAGCAGATCGAATCTAACCGGCTCAATGTTGACTCAGCCTTCTAACCTTCAGAGCTTGGTAAAATGAGGACCCAGATTTTTTTGGGGAAAGAAGCTTTCTAAACCATTTAGAGACAGTTGTGAAGCACTGTGAAGCGGTATGCTATTATTATCTTCCTTCCTTCCTTCCTTCCTTCCTTCCTTTCCTTCCTTCTCTCCTCCTTCCCTCCCTTCCCAGTGTTTAGAATGCAGTATTGCAGGCTAACTCTGCCCCACTGTCAGCAGTTTGATCCTGACTGGTTGCAGGTTGACTCAGCCTTCCATCCTTCCGAGGTGGGTAAAATGAGGACCCAGATTGTTGGGGACAAGAGGCTGACTCTGTAAACCCGCTTAGAGAGGGTTGTGAAAGCAATGTGAAGTGGTACATAAGTCTCAGTGCTATTGCCATTGCTACATCATGGCGACCAAAACTGGATGCCGTATTCCAAGTGTGGCGTTTCCCAAGGCCTAGAGACTCGGTCGATTCTAAAAGAGCGAGCCTTGGGTTTCTTTCTTGCGAGCCCAGTCGTCATTTTGACCAAGTTCTATTCTTCTGGATGTGTAAGATTTATGTCTCCCTCAGCCAGAGGCAGTTTTTTTTCCACTGGGGGATTAACATAAAAGGTATTTTGTCTTTAATATGTAAATGCCGGGTTTGACAGAGACAGAGGGGCCCTTATAAAGATGCTACTCAATGAAGCGTTTGATCAGGGCACCCTTCCCCGGATTAGCGCCTTAAAGAACATCAGGTAATCTTCTCCTTTCGCTGGGGCTAAGAGAAAGGGAGGGGGGGAGAGATAGGAGTTGGATCAAGAAAAGGACGTTTAATCACGTCTCTAAAGTGATTAAAAGGACTCTTTTTGATGGAGATTTCGCCTCCTTTCCCCAGTGCCCGCCCGCGCGCGCGCGAGAGAGAGAGAGAGCGGATGAAATCCGAAATAAGACAGCAAGTCTGATCAATGGTGGAGCTGAGGCACTCCTGGTGTAAATACTACTCAAAACGGATTGCAAAGGGGGCAGCGGTGCCATCCATCCATTCTACGCCTCTCCTCCCCATCAGGTTGGGCAAAGCTGCCAACGGGCTTGGCAGCCAGAGATCGAAATAAATAAATAAAAACCCCGTCAAATCTACCGTGTCCTGAACTGACACTCAAATCCTTTTTGAAGGTGACGTGTTTGAACGCTGCTGCTTTCCAGTGACGGGGGTGGGGGGGGGGGGTGGTTATAAAAGAAAAGGACGTGGAAGGAAGGATGCTCAAGCCACTGGCTGCCACTCTCGACTCGGAGGCTGCGAGGGAGGCGGCAAATTAAAGGGAGCTCTCCAGGATTCATTCTTTCCTGTTGGTTCCTGGATGGATGGGAGAGAGGAAGGACAGGAGGAAGAAGAGATGCTTCCTCCTTTTCTTTTATTGCTCGGATTTCGTGCCTGCCAAGGTTCGTTAGCTCGGAAGGGTCTCGCCACCAGCGAGAATAAAAGGCGAGAGAAATTCAGCTCCTCTTTCACGGCTGCCTTTAGAAAGGGGTCCTCGTTTTAATGAGCCAGCCAGGAAGGTAGAACAAAACGGAGAGGGGAATAAATATATAGGAATGAAGAGCGCGGAGGGTTTCTTTTAAAAAAAGAGATCTTGGTTAGGGAGAGATATCAGAATTATCTCCTTGTTCCTGCGAATGGCACCCGGGAACCCATTAAATTTAATGAAAGGGCGAGCAGGCAGGGACGGAGCTCAAACGCCGGCTGTAATCTTCTCCAGAGCAAGAAGAGAGGCAAAGGGAGAGAGGAGGGAGGAAGCCCCTTTGGGGTTTTTGGGGGGAAGGGGGCTTCCATTCTTGGTGGGGAGGCATTTGTTTCTTTTTCTGGATCGGGAGGCCTTTCTCAAGGACTTCTTCTGTACAGAATGAGAGGTCATCTTTTCCTAGCTGGTGCTAAGTAAAAGAGGGCCAAGATAGTATTGGATCAAGGTCTAGATCAGGAGTATCCAACCTTGGCAACATTACGACTTGTGGACTTTAACTCTCAGAGGCCCACAAAGGTCTAGATCAAGAATATCCAACCTTGGCAACATTAAAACCTCTGGACTTCAACTCCCAGAGAACCACAAAGCTGTAAGTCAAGAGACCTTGGAGACATTAAGATGTCAACTCCCAGAGGCCCACGAAGATCTAGATCAGGCATGTCGAACCTTGGCAGCTTTAAGACTTGTGGACTTTAACTCCCAGAGGCCCACGAAGGTCTAGATCAGGGGTGTCCAACCTTGGAAACATGAAGACTTGTGGACTTCAACTCCCAGAACCCACAAAGCTGTAAGTCAAGAGTCTCCAACCTTGGAAACATTAAGATGTCAACTCCCAGAGGCCCACGAAGGTCTAGATCAGGAGTGTCCAACCTTGGCAGCTTTAAGACTTGTGGACTTTAACTCCCAGAGGCCCACAAAGGTCTAGATCAGGAGTGCCCAACCTTGGAAACATGAAGACTTGTGGACTTCAACTCCCAGAGTTGAGACTCCATACTGGCTGGGGGGATTCTGGGAGTTGAAGCCCACACGTCTTGAAGTCGCCAAAGTTGGAGACCCCTGATTTCTGACAGAGATGACCGCTGAGGACTCTTGAAAAGAAGATCTCCCTCTCCCAAATGACCTCCTGGATCTTCTTGAATTCTTCCTAAAGCCACTCAACAAACAACCATGGAAAAGAGGCAGAGAACCCATGCCCTGATGTCCGAAAGATTTGGGATGGGCCTGATTATTTCTGCAGACCCCTTCCCCATCTCCCCACCCACCCACCCATCCAGGAAGCGGCTTCTGAGCTCTTACCTAGAGTCACTTCGGACTGCATGGGCATAGAGAGGGCATCGTGCTTGACCTCACAACTAAAGAGCGCGTCATTGTCTATCTGAGGATTAAGGGTCCACATAAGCATGGCCCGCACCTCCACAGTGCCGTCGCTGATGGGGATGTGGGTGTGGTGGAAGAAATACGTGGGGTCGGCGTTCTGGATCCACCGCGGGAACTCCCGGCTCACCACAGTCTCGGGGATATTCTCGGTGGTGGGGCTGAGCAACAGTCCCCGGTCGGGGGTGAGGCCATGGAAGGGGTCCTCTGTGTAGAGCCTCCCGCCCCGGTCCTCCACGTTCAGCAGCGAGAGGGACCGCTGCATCTTGGTGTCGTCCAAGTCCCGATGGAAGAGGTTCCGGGCAGCTCGGCTATCCTGCAATCCGGCGGCGTTGACCGGGGGCTCCGTCAGAGCGATACCCTGTATCAATTCTCCGTCCCTTTTGAAGTAAACCTGGAGGAGGAAAATATCAAGAGATTAAAAGACTCTTCCTCCCTAGTCGATGGTTTTAGGCACAGTCCAGAAAGGTATTGTTCTGACCCAGCTCCCCAAACACGACAGGCCCTCTGACGTGAACTCAAAAGATTCCTTTATTAGGAGTACCGGCAGCCTTGGCAAAAAAGTTTCTCTGGCAAGCTAACATGTCCAGCCGCCTGGAAGATGAATAGTTGTCTGCCACATCTATTCATCTCCGACCCCTTCCTATTATTCCCAGAGCAAGGGTGGGGCTTTGCTAGCAGCGATGCCTCTTCTTTCCCAAGGACTGGCCCATAGATTTCCACTGCTCTCCTCTCCTCTAGTGAAGAGAAGGACCAGGGAAGACATGATAGCAATGTTCCAATATTATTTTATTGAAAAAGTTTTATTTTATTTTAATTTCATACATCTAACCACAACATTACATCTGCAGAAATTATTTTGTATTGTCCATTATATCATTCCCTCAATCCATTATATCATTCCCTCAACTTCTAATTTCAATAGATGTTATTGTACCCGATTTCACTGCCATCCTATCTCCTCTCCCTCTCTCCTCCACCCTATCTCCTTTTTCCCCTCTGTCATCTCTCTCTTCTCTACTTCCCCTCCCTCCCTCCTCCTCCTCTCTCCTCTCTCCACTCCTTCTTTCTCTCCTACTTCTCCTCTCCCTTCTATTTCCCTCTCTCCTATCTCCTCTCTTCCTCCTCGCCTCTACCTTTCCTTTCCACGCTCTCCAATCAACGTTCCAATATTTGAGGGGCTGCCACAGAGAGGAGAGGGGGGGGGTGTCAAGCCATTTTCCAAAGCACCTGAAGGCCGGACAAGGAATAATGGATGGAAACTGATCCAGGAGAAGTTCAACCTGGAAATAAGGACAAATTTCCTGACCATGAGAACAAGCGGCCAATGGAACTGGAATTGTGGGAGCTTCGTCCCTGGAGGCTTTCGAGAAGAGAATGGACTGCCATCTGTCAGAAACGGTGTAGGCTCTCCTGCTTGGGCAGGTGGGGGTTGGACTAGATGACCTACAAAGTCCCTTCCAACTCTGTCAATCTGTAGCATAGGAACCCAACAGCAACCCCCCCACACACACACACTTGATCCTGCCAGGGAACCCACTGCGTTGGCAGCGATGTCTACGCCGACAAGATTGCGGGGACACCACAGGGGGTCATGTTTGTATAGCTAGAGCAGTGAGGAGCGCAACGCCTGTTTAAGTCCTTTTGAATGTCTCTGTGAAGAGAAAATTGCCTTGCGTTTCCCTCCCCCGCCCAAAAATACCCTTCTCTTCGAGCTTCTGATGTCACGCTGTAATGAAACAGCCTGGGGAATGTTTGCGGATAAGTGAGCGTTTCTTTTTTTTGTGTGTGTTTCCAGGTAGAGAGATAGAAGCAGACGCAAAAAAAAAAATTCTTTGTTCCTTGCTCCTCCCTCCCTTTGAGTATTTCCCCCCCGTCTTCCAAACGGAGATGTGTTTCCGACTTCCGAATTAATAAGCAGAAATTATTACCGGGATGCTCAGATGCCAAGGCTTCCCCCCATCGCTCCCCACTGTTTCACAACATCCTGTCTGCTTGTATCAAAATGATCCATCACGATGAACATGATTTAAAAGGGGTGTGTGTGTTTGTGTGTGTGGAAGCAAGGCAGTGGTGGGTTCCGGATCCTGGTACAACCAGTACGGTGCAACGGGGCCTGGCGTCCACCACATGAAGGTGCGCAGCACGCTCGCACACTCATGCATGCATCCTTACCTCTTGTGACGCCTCCGCGACACTCCAGCTGCTCGGCGGAGTGTCACGCAGGCGCCGTGCGCTCCGTGCATGTAAGCACCGAAGAGCTCAAATACAGGTAAGGAGCTCAGGCGGGCGGGTGATCCCTCCAGAGCACCGTACTGGAACGGTACCCGGTGCTTCGGGCAGGCACCGGTACGCCCATAACGGGGTGTACCGCCTGCAACCCACCACTGAAGCAAAGGTAGGATTCAGCTGGTTCACACCGGTTTGGGAGAACCGACGCTAATTTTGCATTCAGTACGCCGAAGGGGTAGTTGGAAGCACTGGCTGGCCCAGCCCACCCCTCCCCTCCCCGTAGTCTCCACGCGGCCCGTTCATTATGCCAGGTAAGTGCAGGGCCAATATGGAGGCTCTGGGAGGGCAAAAAATGGGCCTACCGGAAGTTCTGGAAGTCCAGAAACAGGCTTGTTTCTGGCTTCCGGAGCCCAGGGGAGGCTGTTTTTGCCCTCCTGGAGGCTCAAGGAAAACCTCCGGAGCATGGGGAGGGCAAAAATGCTCTCCACCCCATTATGAGGAGGCTGAATAAGCCATGCCTCCCATGGCCACACCCACCCACATGGGGCAGCCCTTGAAGAGCATTCGGAGACTTCAGCTCGTCCAGAATGCAGCCGCGTGAG